GAAATTTGAACAGCTAAAGCATACCAGGGTCATTTTGGATCTGAAGCTTCAACTTCATTACCCAAGCTAAGTTTATCCTGTGGATCTTGTGAGGCAGACATCAGTGAAGGTGAGGACATGATTATGTAGGGTAAGTCATAACAAAAGCTATGTAATTTTTGACTTTTTCAATTTGGATGTTTTTTCTAGATCTTTCCCATGCAGATTTAGATCTTTTTAGATATTTTTTGACACCGTTTTGGATATTTTTTGTCAAAGAAAAGTGGCAACACTGCACAGCAGCAGCACACTTGCACCCCTTGAAATAGTGGACTGTCAAGTCAGCTGTGGAATTCCCAGTGATTTTCGTGTTTGGGGTACGTTATAAATATTGTACCCAAAATTGTCCCACGAGGTATCACTACCAAGTTTCATCCCTCAGCGGGGACATTTCATGTTAGCCGCAGTAAACGCCTAACTCAAATTGAGGTACCGTGTGCCATTCTGCGCATGCAGACAAATACGTGCACCATTTGTCCGAACTTGGATCGCGCATCACCTACTTGGACAGACGTTTACTGGGACCTCTCCACGTGTGATCCTCATTGGCATGGTTTTCCCTTAGTGTCACCAGGTGTTTGAGGCTTGTGTAATGTCCTGGTGGGGTACAACTTACCTACCTACCTACCTACCGGCTAATCTCTCACTGTTACTTAATTTATGTGTCAAACGGTGTATTATCAACAACATCAACTACTATTTATATCGATGTCTGTCCACTGCCAAGCACAATAAATTGACCAAATTTCGTCCCACCTCTCATACTTTCTCCTCCTCCTCATCTTCTGCAAGCGCAGACAACAGGGTGGTTTGTAAACTTCCAGGTCTCCCTCTGTCCTCATACGTGATATCGGTCCTGGGTAAGGGCTTTTGTTTTGTACCCCTTACGTCCTTCTAGCGACCGATACGGTCCTTCAGGACGCTCGCAACTTATGCAGCAGGCCCAGATTGCTATAAGATTACAGCACTTAGCATGAGAGAGCCAATGTACCTGTGCCACTGCCTCTACAGTGTGGTTTTCAAAACCTAGGTCTTCCTGGGCTCCTAATTTTGGGCCATCTAGAACTCTAAATCTATTCATTGTGAAAACTCTTTTTTGAGATGACTAAATTGAAATGTAAACCTCTCAGGCACTCTAACCACTCGCCTCAAGATCTTCAGGCACACACACGATTGAAACGTCCTGATGATATTGTCATTTAACCTGCTTATAAGCAAGGGTCGGTAGTGGTTTGGAGAAAAGATTCAGATGTGCGGAAATGGAACAAACAACTTAGTGACACATCGTTCTATTAACTCTAGTCACAGGATGGCAACAAAGCAGTTAAAAGCACCATCCTAGCCTTCAGCAAGGAAGATATTCTACCTGCCCGGGCTAGCTCTGTATTTGTCGAGGAAAGTTGTCTTCGAAAACCCGCCTTCTATCTGCTTCACAAGGTACCCAAAGTAGTAGAGACAAATTCAGGGCTAACTATAGCAAACGTACCAGTATCATGCAATCCTCGCAGGGAACCGGTCTTCCCCTGCAGTCGCCCCTACCCACGCTGTCTAGCCTAATGTGCAATGCCACGAAAGCTGGGTGGATTTCCTGCAGGTTCGGTCCGGAAGCCAAAAATTAGGACAATTTTGAGTGAGCTGGCCTTTGTATACACAGTGGCCAGGTATTTTTCACAAGTGAACTCAAATCAAATCATGGTATTCGTCGTCACACGCTTACATCATGTATCAGTTTGTGTGTTGATACCTCTCTATCTTATGACAAAAGGCTGTCAAGAATCTTCTTTAAATGTCTTCCTTTGTCTCTTTTCCACGGATATTGACAGAGGTCACAACATGTTCCAGCATCCTTCTTCTCATAACATGACCAATACATGATGACTGTTTCTAATATTTGTTGTATGCTGTCTTCGGGCCTTCACTTCTCTGAAAACATCTGGGTTGCTCGTTTTTGGATGTCCAATAAATTCAAAAGATTCTTCTGTAAAACCACATCTCCGAGGCCTGAAAAAATTGTTTGGCTTGTTTATTAATTGTCCAGAATGCATAGCCCTATGTTAAATATGGCCTTAGATATACAGCAAAGAGTTCTTTTCCTAACCTTCAAAGACATGGATTCATCCTATATAGTGTTCTTCGTTTTAAAAAAGAATACAGTTTTGACTTGTCCTATACTGTCCGTCACAAAGTATAGCGAGCATATTATACAGACGTCTATGGATAGATACCACAACTAACGGCACACACCAAGCAATTTCAGATACTGATATCAATGTAGTCCAGGGTTCAACTTTTCTGTAAACGGGTCCTTTCAAATCTCTGTCAGTGAGAAGAAAGGTACACACGAAATAGTGAATTTCCGCTGAAAGCGATCCTGAAACTGTTATCACAGGGCACTCAGGTTATCTCCGTCTCTTGACATGCCCAATGTTTGGAGTTGTCAATAAAGTAACAACTCTGCAGTTTCCGCCACTACGTTACAGAGATTTACTGTTTGTCCATGATTTTCTTTCGTACACTACGACTGGTTCACTATAGCTCTTAAAAATGTTTTTTTCAAACACGTTTACAAAGATAACTTGAACATATTATTCATTACCATGAGTTAGTGACGTTCAAAGGCGATAAAAACGTCTTTGCAGCTCATCCCACAGTTGCTCAGTCCGACTCATGTCTGCAGACAGGGATGACCAGGGAAGGATTTGAATGTTACAGGCAGCCAGGAATTGCTTGGTCAACCGTGCCGAATTGGGTCTGGCGCTGTCCTGTTGAAAAAGATAGCTGCTGGCATCACAAAATGGAAGGACATGTGGTCGAATAATTTCATTGACGTATCGTTGCGCATTCGAGCTCCCTTTAATGTGCACTGGTTGACTGCTTCCGTTGTAACTTATCATTCCCCACAACATTACACCTCAACCACCATGCAGCAGAGCTTCATCAACACAATTTTAGGCTAAACCTTCATTTCGCCTACGGTAAACCTTACGCCATCTATCATGACGCTGCAACAAAAAGAATTAATCGTCATTGAACCAGACAAGTCTCCGCTGATTGTTACTTGCCCAGGGACGATGTTGGTTGGCCCAAAGAAGTCTATTTTGGCGGTGTCGACGCGTAAGGACAAGTCTCGGTGTGGTCGTAGTGCCCAAAGTCAAACGTCATGCAGTCTGTTTCGAACAGTTTGATAGACACATAACGTCCTGGAGGCAATGCCTACACAGTTGAGAAAGCTGTTGTAAACCTGTCTCTGAGGTTACAAAACCAAATAAAGCGATTTTCTGCTGCTGTTTTCACTGAGAGTCGTTCACTGCGATGTCGGTTTAGATGCCTGGCAACCTAACTTTAACTTTATCCTGCTTGCAATCAGCTAATAGCAATTTCCTTTAAATATATTTATACATGTGCTATTCTTGACTGCTTCCAATTCTAATGGCACCAGTAACTGATTGTATATCCGTCTCGCCTTTCCCTTGAGTGTTGAGCATCTCCTGGCAACTCCTCGCAGCGCCAATGTCCTTAGACCGTAATGATCTATTTGCGCTTCCGCACTGCTCACTCGCTCCCAGAGAGCCCTCACAACATCAAGCTTGTCATTCATCAGTTCACTATCAAGTAGTTCAGAACCGGCCAGTCTATCTGCCTGCCAGTTTTTCTCACGGTGTCGATCTAATATCAGCGTCTTTTCCTCTACTCATAATTCACTGGCACCTGTTTAGTTCTCTGCCAAAGCTCAACATTAGTGATTTGAGCGCATTTAATTTCTTCTATTCCGCTCACCAATTAAGAGAAGGGGGAGGGTTGTAGTTTATTAGTAACTGTTTTAGGTTTAGTTATTCTCCATGTTTCAGCTTCACATAGCAAGTACTGATTTGACATCAGAGTTAAAGATTTCAAGCTTAGTATTAGTTTTGATTTCCTTAGACTTCCATGCAAATGTCAAAAGTCATACATTCAATGGAATGAGCATAATGGGGAGTAGCTGCGTAGCGAGGTCGTGCGGTACCCATGTTGCCCTTCCCCATATATTTTTGCTTATATTATTGCTCTTTTCTCATTCCCCCCCCCCCCTGCTCCACCACATCTGACGACACCCAGGACAGCATCCAGAATTCCAGCCTTCAGAAACTATCTTGGCTGCACGACATTAGCGAGGAAAACAACTTAAAGTCTACCTTTTAACTATCTACATGCCTTCTTTAATAGTTTTACAATTTTTAGTAGACTTTTCTTCATTATTGCGGCGGCACTCCTAGCATACGCTCACAGCACCCCTTGGAGCATCAGTACCCAACTTCAGAACCGCAGCGTTAACGCATCGTTAGCCCGACCCTATGACGTCAGCAGCACGGCCCGTCAGCTGAAGCCGGTCGTGGATGAACCGACTATTTGAAACTGGTATTAAACTAGGACGAGCATGCAGGAACTAGTTGTAAAGCAAAGAAAGAAGATATGCCAGTCATCTCCTACAGGGTGTGTTGAGCATACAGACACTGTAATTGCTGTTGCATCCGACGACAGTGCAAGAATGGGTCTGACCATTGTCGATACAGGTAACAAGTAACAATGGATTCGATCATAAACGTCTTTGTTTTAATCATAACTGTAACCACACAATCATGAAACCGTTAAACTTCTGAGACGCAGGATTCGTTTACACTACTCCTAATTTTTGTTAACCATATTAAGATAAGAGCTAACTTGTACAGAGTAGCTGCCGTGATGTAGCGGCTAGACGGTCGCCTAACGCTCGTAGGTCGTGGGTTCAAATCCACATCGAGCCAGATGTTTTTATTATTTATAAAGGACCTTGGCTCCCAGGTGAACTCTGCCTAAAGTGGGAGCTAGATACAATTTCTGGAAAGTAAAGGCGCCCTGCTTGACACTGGGCATCTATGTCGAAAAAAAAAAAAACAGGAAAAACAAATATCTTTTACACCAATAGTGGTCGAAGTGGGAACGGGTTACGGTGCATTTCCAGATGTATAGAATGTGAACATTCTAAGAAAAGACCGTCTGTATTTCGTGCTCATTACGAAGTAAACACAGATGTTGATGCTGGAGTTGAAGGCCTCTGTTGTAAATGACACTGATAATGTAACCAGGAAGAGATTCTTGTACAGCCCATCATAGCTCAGCTGTGGATCAACAAATCCAGCTATAAAGATAGCCACAGCGGGAATAAAACTAGTAATGAAAATGATGGATATCAGAACCACCATTTTTGCTGCTTTCATGTCCTTAATGTTTACTTTGTTATTTGAACTATCTGCTTTCTGGCATACAGACGAAGAGTTGAAGTGTCTCCAAGCTGATTTTTTGTTTAATTTAGTTACAAGTACAGTTGTCAGAACCACTACAGACACAAAGCAAGAGACTGGCATGAGAACGCCATTGACTGCATAGGAAACTGAGTGTGTTATTCTTCGTCTGTAAGCATCCATATGATAGACAAGGCCAATCAAGGTCCTGTTTCTTTCTGGGGAAAATCTCCATTCGAGTCCAGCGCAAAGATATGCCAAAGATCCACAGCTCAATGGTATAACAAAGAAAGATATCATTGCCAGGATATGTCTCCTTCTAGTAAATATCGTCTTCACTTTCAAGGGACGAATCACACAAACACATCTCTCGAGGCTAATGAACGCTGTAATCCAGCCTGTCGTTCTTGTGAAGATTACATGTGGCCAACTTCCGGTGATTAAATGAACTTCATAAGTTGCCATAGGGATACCGGAATCTTGAAAAGCGGGTGTGAAGCAAAGATTGCTCCACATGATACATAGTAATGAACAAAGGTCGGAGAGGGCTAATGATAGCAGGCTTATGTTTATGGTGTCCGAGAATCCTTGCTTCACGAAAATGATACAGTTTATAACGTTGCTTACTGTACCGAAGACTGTTACTGTCTGGCAAATGATGCCTAAACTAATGAACATAATAAACAAATACTGATCGTCTGAAACGATAGAAACTGGTTGCTCTTTGCCTTCTTTAATGGTAATAGGGAGCACGTCTTTGGATAGAGGGGCACCTGAGGAATTCTGAGCAAAAGAGAAGCCATTTGATTAATAATATTAATAAGCCCACCAGCAAGGGAGAGAGAGAGAGAGAGAGAGAGAGAGAGAGAGAGAGAGAGAGAGAGAGAAAGAGAGAGAGAGAGAGAGAGAGAGAACGAGAAAAGATAAGGATTGAGAAAGGACGAGTAAAATGTTAGAGAGGTCATGGAAGGATGCAGATATGGAAAAAAGCAACACTGTGGAAGCAACAGAAAAAAAGATTTATAATAATAATCTCAGTTATCATAGAATTGTGAATGCCATGTTACAAAAGAACAATTAGTATGTAGATAAACTTTTGATGTTTTTTATCTTCTAAACAAACAGCGACACATCTTTTTTTTTTCAGAATAAACGTTGAATAAGGATTAAAGGGGGGATTAATAAAGGAAGAAGACGAAAAAGAAGAAGAACGATGCGAAGGAGGAGGAGGTGGAGGAGGAGGAAGAAGAAATATGGAAGAAAGAGAAAAAAGAGATTATTACTATGGTGATGACCACTAGATGGCTAACAGAACATCTTTCGATAGTTAAACATATGTACACAACATACCCTGCATGCATGCATGTAGGCTACTATTATTTGCAGCAGAGCATTTCTAATGCTGTAATGCTGTAATATATATATATATAGTACCTACACATATACTAGGTAACCGCGGCCACGCGTTGCTGTGGCTAAGTCTGGCTAAACGGAAAAGAAATAAAATAGGAAGCACTCGTGTCTAGTTTAGTTAATTTTACAATTATTGTCTGCGCAGATATAGAGATAGTCTGGATTGCTGACCCTAGAACACACAACATATAACTGTGTCTTTACATTAGTGGTCATTCAAAGTGTATTATTGGGACTTTGAAAATTTTGGTTATTCTTTTATTACATGCTAAAGCTATTTTTTTTTTTCACAGCTGAAAGTAGAGCTTACTATTGAACTTATAAAAAAGCAAAAAAATTTTTTTTTAATGAGGATAGTTAGGGTAGCGTTATTAAAATATAAATAATTTTAGAAAATGAAAATTTTAAAATTATTTTTTAAAGTTCACTCATTTAACAGTGTCTGTCATAACCACCCCCCCCCCCCCCCCCCCAATATATCCATTACTTCTTTCTCCCTCTCCGAATGATTTGAAATGTTTCACCCAAAGATATATTTTTTTAACTGCCCTTGGCATTCGTGTCCACCCAGATTAAGAAGAGTAGCAGGAATTGTAATAAAGTTAATGAGGTGAGTGTAAAATTCACCACATCACCCATCAAGTACCAGTGCTACTAATACCACCATCACAACAACAACTAAAAAACTGTCACTGCTGTCTGTTTTTACAACCTGTTTAAGTCGGTGTTGACAGGGGTCTGAGGACTGAGGATTTTGGGCTAGTGCGGTCGCTACGGACTGTTCAGGTTAGGATGTTTAATTTTGTCTCTACAGAAAAACTCTGTTTCCTTTCCGGGGGTCCAACCAAGGTCTCTCCCGCATGAGAGCCACTCTGCCAACCAACACAAAAACAACTACTATTCTTCTACTACTACCAATGCTACTACTATAAGCAGATTACTCTTGTGGGCAAAGCGGTTACTGTGACTTCTCTGACATGGACAGTAGTGATGTCGTTAACGTCAAGTGAGATACATATCGCGAAGAAGATCGTGTTAAGGGTGGTGGATTTGGAAGTGCAGACAATAATATTTCACCAAGGGAAAGGGTCATTTGATTAATCACCACAGAAAGGACGTCGTTAGGGTCTTTGCTCTTGTTGAGCTATCAAGGAAAAGATCTGAGAACCTATGGATCTGTCAGGAATCTGTGATGATACTCTTCACTAATGACTAATCTTTCATTTCAATATCTTTTCATTCGCATACAAACTTTCAACAAATCTCTTCTTATTCCCAAAATTTTCAATTATTACTTGTCTTTATTCCTACATCTTTACATTTCCATACATTGTTTCAACAACTCTTCGTCTACTGTGGCACTAATAGCCTTACGGTTAAAACGGGTTTTCAGGACTTGGGTTGGCCATTCTCTTTCAAACGTTGTCACTTTGTGTCACCGGAGCTTGTTCACTAGTTGTGCGGTCCCAGTGAGGTCAAATCTCACTTAGTCCGATATCTTAATGACAAAATCAACTCAATAGTAGTGGTATGGCTGCGCTGTTGCGCACTAATATGGTCCTCTTATCTTATCATATCACCAACGTAAAGTAGTCCTGGTCAGGAACGATCAACACGCTTAATTTCGGCGTGACCTGGTATTTGTGGATGCATAAAAACGTAAACACTGCCGTTCCAAGACATTATTATCCGATGCAGTAGACTAAAACAATAATTAGAACAACATCTAGCCTCCTTCTTATGGCACATGACAATCCCGATCGTAATCAATATCATCAACCAATAATGCGGCGTGTCGTTCGATAACCAGTTGCTGTTGACTGATTGAGCTACCTCTAACTTTGATTGTCGGCTGCGATGGACATCATGGCTGTATGCCTAAGTCATGTCCAGTCAATTAGGTTCTGTATCCACATCTTTCTTGGTCTGCCTCTTCTACTCTTCCCCACTGCTGAACCCTGTAGTACTATTTTCAAGAGGCCGTTAGATCTTATTACATGTCCGTAACATTGCAATTTCTGCCTTTTCATTGAAGTTGAAAGAGGTTCATAGTTGCCAGTGAGCTGTGAAATTTTACGGTGAACCTAATAATTTGTGATGTAGTATCTTTTTATGCTATGCCAAAACTTTTTCTGAAAGATCGCATGTCCATTCCTTGTATTTAATTTTCGAGTTCAGCTACGTTTCACAGCCGTATATAAATGTACTAACAGCTAGTGCTATGAACAGTCGTAGCTTAGTTTTATATGAAATGTTTTTGGGATCTCCGATCGGCACAGAGAAACAACTGATACAAAACATAATCATTCCTATTTAATGCTACCAGAGCCGGACATGGTCACTCACGTCGAACCGGAAAAGACGACTAGTAACCATGGAAATGTGATCTTCGGCGAAAGGCTACCGATGTGAGCAGAAGAGATAAAATCAGGAGTTGAGTAGTATCAATGGCATGGGGTGCATGTAACGATCGTAGTGGCCGCTTACACTTTCCATCGCCAAGGAAGCATTATTTTACTCTTTATTATTGCTAAAGAACACTCGCTGCATGCTTGTGCGACTCATATAGAAACTGTAACATGTGAAAACTACCAGTTACTAGCGCTACAGTGCTAATTAACAAGCATAATCGAAGCGATGATGAGGAAAATATTACGGAAACTTCACCAGTGCAATAATTGCCTGCTAACGCTTACACGCGCGAACTGATGACGCCTGACCACTAAGTCAAAAGTAGAAATATTTGACACACAGACAATCCTAAATTACACAAATCGACAGAAATTAGCTGGCCCATAGACGACCTCTCTTCGGTCGGGACAGTATTTTTTTTTTTAGCTTAAAATCAGTTCGGAGATTATAAACAGCATATTCATACCAACACTGTGCTAACATAGCCAGACTTGGATATTATCAAGGACTACATTACATAAAATTAATAAATGTGAAATGAGATGCCTGATAGAAGCCGCCAACTTAACTATTCGATACAAAGTTACAAATGATATCAATAGACAGATTGTAGGAACAACACCATGCAGCAAATTCACTGAAAAACAGAAAATCAAATGGTTTGGTCATCTAGTAAAATACAACCAGAACAACAACCAACGCAAGCGCTGCACATGAAAAGATCTGAAGTAAAAGCAAGAGGCCGCCCTAGGATAAGATGAATTGATGACATTCAAGAGCTTACACATAGACACGGAATTATAATAGCCATTGCTGCCCATCAAGCAAAGGATCGTAAATTCTTCCTCATCCCAACGCTTAATAACAGAAGTGGAAATAATAATAATGATGATAATGAATATACAAAATATGGGGTCGTTGCAGACCATCTTATTAAGAGGAAGTCCGCAGATATGATTTTTCGTGAAGTACTGTGCTACAGAACTGCATAACTTAGCTTTAATATGATACCACAACATCCAGCTTAGGAATGGAGGTGGAGGCGGTCACTGCAGCTGTCCGCTGGCTAGAGAACACGACACACACACACACACACACACACACACATCGTGAGTGTAACTGATTCAGAAAGCATGCTGAGAAAGATCAGAACAGGTATGCTTCGTGCAGAGTGGCATGCTTCGTTGCGGAGGACACGGGTGAGAAATGTTGTCTGGATTTTTTCACCGGGGCCCGATGGTGTGTTGGGAAATAAACAGGCGGACAGACAGACTGGCTCTGCACAACTTGGTGGAATACTGATACATGATAGGGCAGACGTGGTTAGTGCCTTGTGGGAGAGCGTGTACATTTCGGAGGAGCAGATGAATCACCACAGTCTGGTGAGACTGATGCAGCGGGGAGTAACGAGAGGTTCTGGCAGATGCTAGAGGCTCAGAGGAAAGGCAAGACGGACGTTTAATCAGAATAATACTGGCGCAATTAGTATCGGAACTCTTCGCTGGCTGCTGAAGATGGGGACGGAGCGCTTATGGGAATGCCCCGAGTGAAGTGATGTCGGTTCTTGAATCAAATCAAATCAAATCAATCAGCTTTAAGTGAGTAATGTTTAAATTCGTAAATGAATTTTCGGATACAATAATGTCAAAATTACCTGATTTGTCATCACGTCACTAATGCTTGCCTGCCCTTTTGTGCTGAAATTAAGTGAAATACGGCTTTCAAAATGTTGATATGACTATGAAGAACTACGGGGGTGTAGTGGTTTCCTACAGAGACAGTGGTCAGAGTATAATTCCCGGGATTTGCAAGATTTTGTTTCCCGAAAGGTACATCTTTGGTGTGGATCCAAC